AAGGTGAAACACTAGGTGATCGGTCGCCGTCACAGTTTTTACGTCACCTCCAAGTCTTAGTGGGTGATAACACAGTGGGTGAAGCAGTCCTAAAACAAGGAGGGATACAAGCTCTCCCATGCTACGTCCAACACTGTTTGGATGCACAGGATCCTGAAACCTCATTATCTCATTTAGCGCGTATAGCCGACAGAATAATGGAAAGAGGTCCTCCAACTGGATCAGGCACAATAAATCACACACAAAAAGTAGAATCAGCAAAAGACCCCGAAATAGAAGGACTCATTGCGAGTGTTAAGAGTCTCACTGAGGCTGTCACCAGAATGCAAATGGGTCATAGAAACAGGAGCAAGTCACCACAACGACCACGATCCAAGTCACAAAACAGGTCACAAATGTCCAGACAATCTGGGCAGTTTTATTGGTACCACTGGAAGTTTGGTGTCAACTCAACCAAGTGCATGCAACCATGCGCCTGGCCTAAGCATAATTCTAAGACAGCGGGAAACGAGTAACCCCTCCCCAGGTCGCGACGACTGAGGAGGGGCGCCTAAACAGTCGCTTGTTTTATGTTAGAAACAGAAACTCTGGCTTGAATTTCTTGGTGGATACTGGCACTGTTCTTAGCATCATCCCTCAACATAAAACTGAGATTAGTCGAGAAACATCATCAATTACACTTCAAGCTGCAAATAAAACTAAAATTGCGACATTTGGGCAGAAAACTTTAACCCTAGATTTGGGGTTCAGGAGGCAATTCCCTTGGGTTTTCACGGTAGCCGACCTAGATCTGGCAATACTGGGAATGGACTTTCTAGAGAGATACGAATTTCTAGTTGACACCAAGAAACGGCGATTAACACTAAAAGAAACTTCGTATTACACAAAAGGCAAAGAAAGTCACATCAACTCTCTTAACTTGATTCAAACTCCCCCAGTAACAACAGCGAAATTCCAAGATATACTCGCGGAATTTCCAAACTTAACTAAACCAAACCCACAGCCTTCTAAAGACAAACTAAAAGTGAGTCACACTATCAAAACCGAAGGTGCACCGGTGTTTGCAAAACCCAGGAGACTAGCACCAGATAAGCTCAAAATCGCTAGGGCCGAGTTTGATTATATGCTACAACTGGGTATCATCCGTCCCTCTGATAGTCAATGGGCATCCCCTTTGCATATGGTCCCAAAGAAGAATGAAGGTGACTGGCGACCGTGCGGGGATTACAGAGCCCTAAACCGTCAAACCGTACCTGATAGGTACCCAATACCTCATATCCAAGATTTCACCAACGGTTTACAGGGTATGAACATATTCACTAAAATTGACTTAGTCAGGGCATATCACAATATCCCGGTGGCTGATGAAGATATTCCCAAGACAGCTATTACTACACCCTTTGGCTTATTCGAGTTTGTACGCAAACCATCGGCGATAGTTGTAGAAGAAATCACATGCTACAAAATAAAATGACAAGCTAGTAAGTGAAGAGACATCCATGGACTATCGTTGACAGCGTCAGTCGTCACTGATTGTAAATCAAACAGTGAGCGAGTTGATAATTTTCCCTTGGGATGAGAAATAGAACTAAGGCGTTTTAGATAGTTAGGTTAATCGAGCCGACGTTCCTAAGGAAGTCGATTCTAGGGGGAAGCTAATGTAACAGCTAAGGTTGGTTGGTTCAGAGATGACCCCAAACAACCAAGCATATGCCAAAACAGTATTGTTCAAGTATTCATTCACTTCCTTGTTTTGTATAAGCGTTATATTCCCTATTATCTTATATTGACTGTTGAGAGCCTTTGTTTGTCTGAACAGATAATCCCATGCTCCATTGTCACCGCGCGAAGATCGAAATAAAGACCTATTCACTACTTCTCTGGTTTCTTCTATCAATAGCACGAGGGTTACCTTAAGGCATGAAAGACTCTCAAATTAAATGGCGAAAATAACCTTACCATTAAGGGTTTTCGGGTAGTCAGATCTTGGAAGCCAATGCTTCCGAGGCCTGTATGGGTAGAACGACTGATTTCCAAAACACCTTAAGTGTGTGCTACACGAACGCTCGTAGTCTTAGAAATAAAATGTCCGAGCGAAGCCTGATGGTGGAAGAATTATGTCCCAATATAATCGTTGTTACAGGAGCTTGGTTCACAGTAGATATAGACTGTTCTCCCTTCATTGCAGGTTATATCTGTATTAGAAGTTGTTGGGGCCCGTAGATCTGACTCGTTTTAGATCGTATAAATGATTGTTATCGCCTTTTCTCGTTCGTCATCGTCGACTTAAATTACGTTAGCCAATAACGGAATTTAGATAAGTTAATTAACGAGAATGGCCTTTGAATACATATATTTTGTATGTAAAGTGAATGTAATAGAACAGAGCAAAGTGACGCGCAGGGAAGATGGCTGAGAAGCCAACTCCATTTTAGTCAAGCGTTGCTCAATATTTATAGTCAGACAAAATAAAGATACAGACATGTGATTAATAGGATAAGAAGGGCACACACATATACGCTCATATAAAAACAGTCAAGACTGACAAGCGAGTAATTGACAAGGTCAAAATATGACTCAAGTAGAATGAATAGAATGGTTCGTCCAAAAACTAGAATAAGGTATATGGGCTTAAAATAATGACTGACACTACAAAGTGATAGAGTTTCAAATCGCAAAGGGGGAGGTATAACGTTTAGATAGCTACCTTTTATCTACCGTTATTCAGTGTGCACTCGTACAACGTATCACAAAACCGAAACATATTGATTTCAATCATGATCCGTCACTGCTGGACCACGCCCTCACCCACCACTGTGAGTATGTCCTTGATATTCAGCACCTTCCCCCACTAGTTAAGTGATCACGTTGTAATTCACTTTAAGTTTAGGACACATGGTATACAATTCGTATCTGCTCCACATCGTCTCAATATCTGGCGAGCCAATATTCTGGCAATCAGAACCTGTGCTATCTCGACTGATTGGTCGGTCGACGCGGATGGACCGATCGAAGATGAATGGAATAAGTTTAAGGCAACCTTCGAGTCCGTGACGTCGCCGTTTATCCCATGGTCAGCACGTAAGCTATCACATTGCCCTCCATGGATTAATAAGGAAACCCGGAAGCTGTTAAAGCGTAGGAAACATTTCTGGAACTTATTCTTGTTGACAGGTCACTCATCATTTAAGCGTGGGTACCAACAATCCTGGGATATTTGTAAGAAATTCATAGCTAAACCCCGTAACACTTACGAACGACAGTTGGCATATGAATGCCGTACTTGTCCTAGACGACTGTTCTGATGTTAAACGGCGACTGAAACGTAGTAATGGTATTCCCTCGTTACTGCTACACGAATCAGATCGCGCAAAAGCTGAGACTTTTTCAAACTATTTCAGCGAAGTGTACTTTATGTTTATTGTAACAAATGCTTGTTCCACTCACACCGAGATACCAACCATTGAATCTGTACAGGTGACTGAGGAATCTGTCCCTCCGTTGATAACTAACCTCAAACCTTGTAAGATACCGGGCTCTGACTGATTACATCCATGGCTGCCGTCATCTCTTGCGGACATTATTTCAAAACCGCTCTCGACACTCCTCAACATGTCTCTTTCACTCGCTCAACGCCTTAGAGATTGGAAAGACGCTATAGTCAGTCCTATGTTTAAGAATGGTCAGAGACAGATCGTACCTAACTACCGACCTGTCAGTCTAACTAGCATTGTCGTTAAGTTAATTGAAAAAACAATTCGGGTTGGGTTGCTAAGCCACATAGATTTACACAATCTGTTAGCTCCTGAGCAACATAGATTTCGTAACAAGCGTTCATGCTTGACTAACTTACTTATGCGAGAGAGGATTGGACAGCAACCTTAGATAAAGGTCTGCCTGTCGATGTGATATTCATAGATTTTAGCAAAGCATTTGACAAAGTTTCACACTCGGGTCTTATGCAGAAGCTCACGAGCTTCGGAATAATAGGTGCTGTGCAGGAGTGGATAGGAAACTTCTTATGTGACCGCAGACAGAGAGTGAGGGTCAACGGAACGCCATCCGATTGGAAGCCGGTCAAAATTGGTGTACCCCAAGGCACCATCCTAGGCCCTCTGCTCTTCCTTCTCTACGTTAATGAGTTACAACTGTTACTTAGGTCGTCGACATTATTGTTTGCGGATGATGTAAAAATCTGGAGAACAATAAAAAGTACGGCTGACCATCTGGATCTTCAAGCTGACTTAGACGATTTAGTTAGATGGGCTCGAGAGTGGGGCTTAGAAATCAATGCTAGGAAGAGTGTACTAATGCACGTCGGTCACGGTAATAGTTACCGTTACACTATTGATGGTAAACCTCTTCCATGCGTTCAAGAGCATAAAGACTTAGGAGTAATATTAAGTCATGATTTAAAAACAACTGCGCATTGCAAAGCAGCCGCTGTCAAAGGTTTTCGTGCGTTATGGTCACTTCGCCGAGCGTTCAAATCTTTTGACGAGGAAACGTTTCGAATTTTATATCCCACATACGTTAGACCACATTTAGAGTACTGTATCCAAGCAGCTAGCCCGTATCTGGTAAAGGATACTAACTCCCTTGAGCGTGTCCAGCGTGTGGGAACGAAATTAGTGAAGGGTCTTTCTAGACTCCCTTACGATGAGCGCTTAAAATGCCTAAATCTTTTCCCCTTGTCGTATCGTAGGACACGAGGTGACCTTATACTGGCATTTCGTATCTTTAATTATGATTTGGGTGTTAATATGTCTTATCTTTTTGCTCCCTCCAGCACTAATAATCTCCGAGGTCATAGCAGGAAGGTTCATAAACCACGATCTAATAAACTTAAAGTGGGATCCCGTTTTTCTCATCGAGTAGTCAATCATTGGAACGCCTTACCCGAACAAGTGGTATCAGCTCCATCAGCAAATACTTTCAAGGAGAAGCTGGACCTTCACTGGAAAGCAATTTGTCAGGATTAATACAGGTTCACCAACCTACTATCCTTATTACTGAAGACTGAATACGCAAATCTGAACTTGTGCGTTACATCTGGTCTTGAGGCATAAAGTAAGTCATCTCAATGTCTTCTTGTGAAGTGGTTCCGTTCGACCAAATGAAAGTGAACCTCTAAAAAATAGATAGAAATAAGCACTTTCGGAGATTCATGTAAAAATAAGTGCAATTCCGAGTTCCCAATTTCGGAGAAATTTTGGAATTTTTGTGCCATTTCCCCAAAATTTATTATAGCGGCTTCCCCAAAATGTGCTAAATTTTTGCGAAAACTGGGAGCTCGGGATTTCTTTGAGATTTAATAAATTACAATATCAAGGTTGGATACACTAAGGTTACATGGTTTCTACATTTATCATTCTGTATTTGTACGGGTTGAAACCATATAATCTCAAGATTTGTACCGTAGATTTCTAGAGAGGTTTACCTGCATTGGCGTTTGTGTGTATGCATTGCTAAGAAGTGGCTGTAACATGATTGATGGCTATTCAAATTGAGAACTTCCCCGGCTAATGTTTAAAACAGATTCCTCTTACTTGGGAGTTTCCTAGATGTTATTTCGGTCGGCACAATTGACTCCCACACTTAAATGAAGATTGTAGCCTTTACCAATGACTGATAAATATAAATGTATTTCAAGACTTAGAATTTAGCTTGTCCGCTTAGTGCCAGATAATACGGAATCTAGGAAATGTCTGTCGAGGTTAATTATTTTGCTCCAGCAAAGGGAATAAAATATTATTGAAAGCAGTGATGAATCACTGTAAAACTGGAGGAGGGAAATAACGTCAAGTAGTAAAAGAAATGGTTAGTAGGGTTTGGAATGGATTTCCAAACTTTTCATGAGCGTTTCTGAAAATGATATGGCCTGTCATCTATCTGATGGTTAGTCCTGCAGAAAACACCGTGAATTAGTTCAGACTAAGGTATCATAATTAAGTCTTGTACCATTTTCTAGCAGAAACGTTTCGAAGCTAGACACCTAGCGCCTACGTGTGATGTAAATCATGTTTAAAGCGCGATTCAATGGAGACTATATGTTTTCCCATAACGATATGCCAGTAAGTGGTTACACAAGAATTTTGAGGGCTTCATAGAAATGTTTGTAAAATTATTTCTGCTTTTACTAATGATAAACAATTTGTATATTTACGCAAAGATTCTTTATTTCCATGTAGAAATGTTATACAGACCTATGGCCCCTTACATTTCTATCCAATGATCCTTTACCTACCATCATTGTCGATGGTATGGTTTAGTTTTTGTGCGTAAAGGAATGGCGTTTAAAGTTGAGGAAGTGATAACCCTCTAATGCATGAAGTGATGTGGAAACGTGATACACACGTACATTCTGATGCTTTGTGCTGGCTAATATATGATTAGATTGAAATATGGGTAAGTGTTGCTAAACAGATATATTACAATTCATAAGGACATGCTATTACAGTAGGTTTATAACCTGGGATCTACAAACAAAACTATGGAGACCTAAGGTGAAATGATATAAAGTACGAATACATACGTGCCACTGCTACTGACTCTATATCATATCACCTTAGCTCTCCAAACATAATTTTGTTTGTAGATCCCAGGTAATAAACCTACTGTAATAGCATGTCCTTATGAATTGTAATATATCTGTTTAGCAACACTTACCCATATTTCAATCTAATCATATATTAGCCAGCACAAAGCATCAGAATGCACGTGTGTATCACGTTTCCACATCACTTCATGTATTAGAGAGTTATCACTTCATCAGCAGACTTGTAACTCCTAAAATCGAATGTTTAATTTCATCAGTACTCATTGATTAGTTCCATCGTACACGAACTGTTCTGAAAATATCTGTGGTTTGATACTAAGGGACTTACTCATGCTGTTATCTTAAAAGATTGTTGCACCATAGAGAAGTAAACTCGTGGAATATATATTCACTTTTTCATAAATGAGTAGATCTATCCTGTCTTGCGGGTGGCGTAAAGTGGTCAAAATCAAGCAAGGTTTTACATCTCGTACCTCAGTGCATTTTTCAGTGATTTGATGAACTGATATCAGGTCTTTGTTTGGCGGCTCTTAGCTTTCCACCAAATTACTCCTACACCAATTGATCTTTGAATTAGGCATGCGTAATAAATGTCCAAACCACCCCACTACCTCATCAATCAATTCTCCATATTTTCCTAGATCTCTTATTTGATGCAATTTGGTTTTCCGACAGATTTTACATAATCTGCCATCATTCCGTTGAAGGGCAAGCCATAATACTTGGGAATTCAGATTTGGTAGAAATGAATGGCGTGAAGGATTTTCCACGATCAAACCCATCCATTCGATCATACACTCTAGAGAAATATCAGATGCTTCGTTTTGAAGTCACTTCACCATCTGGTTTAACTTTAGTTTCTGGTGCTGCTGAAGTTTTTGGTACTGAACTCGTTTGTGGTTGGGAGTTACAGTTATATCCAGGTCAACGAGGAACAGTCGTTACGTTCCATGGCTGCAAACTGATTGTTCAAGACCAGGGAGTTGCTGCCTATATAATCGCCTCATCGGAAGATCAAGAAATTGTACACGTATATATGAATATTCATGCTAACCTAGAAGTTTCACGACAAAAAGCTGTAAAGGAGCAAAGTAGAGGGCCACGCGTATTAGTATGTGGTCAAGAAAGTGTTGGGAAGTCTACACTTTGTCGCACTTTGGCAAGTTATGCGGCTCGTAGAAAACACAAACCAATACTTGTAGATGTTAACGTTGGACTCAATCAGGTACCGCACTTATTATGTAAAACTTTTTTTATGTAATTTAATTTAGTTTTTTCATCGATTCGCTTTAGTCTTTGTAAAATATCTAATCAACGTGTATCAGGATATCTTTGAAATTATTGACCCTCCAATGTCGAGGCTTCACTTTGTGTCAATATTACCATAACCTATATGGAACTCCTAAAAGCCTACAAACCATTTCTCATTAACTGATGTCTTATATTCTGGTTTGACTCACCTATGTCTTCGTACAAAATTAAATACTTCTTTCTAATTGTGCAAGTGCTTTTTTCTTCTAGTTACTCTTTCTGCAACTATATGTTCAGTTTTTCAAATATCTCCGTAAAATTAAGTAGTTAATTCGAGTCTATCCATCAAACACATGTCATTTGTGAATTTTATTTCTTTATTTAGTATGTAGATTTCGTTTACTTTCAATGAAATATTAAATGTTTATTTAACTATAATTGGTATATGTGGCTATCCTTACTCGTCTGTTATTTAGCTCTGGTGAATAACAACAAGATTTTTATTTCTGTAAATGTGAATAGTCTCCTTTGTCAACGACTGCTTAGTCGATTCCTGAGATTCTTCCTGATTAATGATAACCTATGACAAAAAACGTACTATGGTTTGGATCTAACTTAATGGGTGATTACAAAATGTCCAGTCGGGTTTTTCCATTAAAACACTATCATTTTACAAACTCTGCATTTGAACTTTAAAATGCTTTACAGGGGATATAAATAGGCTATTAAAATTATTTTTATTACATAGGCCAACGGAGATGATGATTACAAAAACCCATTATCGAATTTAAGTACTTAGAAAACATGTACTAAAGTGTCACGTCTAAAATCATTGTTCAGTCAACTGGTAATAATCTACAGTTATTTGCGACTAGTCTGTTGAATTTACTCGTCACTTGAGTATGTCTGCCACATCAAGATAACTCAACTTAAATATTTGCATCATCATTACATTGGCGATTATCGTATTCTTTGTACCAAAGAGGAATTTACAGTAGAACTTCCAAATAACTATTTATCTGCACTAGAATAATTTACAATTCTTGTGGCCTTATTCCTGAGCACTTGGTTTGCAATCACATTTTTGAATGATGTGGTTCAATCGTATTTTTTCCGACATTTTCAATTCTTGTGACTCGTTTTCGAAATTATGTTTTACTGTTTTCAGTGTTGCCGCATTCCTCTTTCATTAACAACTTGGATTTTTATGTATTTTTCTTATATACGTAACAGGTGTGTATACCAACAACTATTGCTGCAATAAGTGTTACTAAACCATATGATTTGATGGAAGGGTGGAGTCTAGAGGAAGATCCACTAGTATTTTGTTTCGGTCACACTGATCCTGCGAGTAACTTAAATCTTTTTCGAGAACAAGTATGTTTAATTACTACTTATCCAGTGTAGCATTTGCTTTTAAATTTATGTATTTAAAAATCTCTACGCGCTTGAGAAGAGGCTACATAGTGTATCATATAAAAAGTTGAATTAATAAGTGAACATGATCACTTATTATTTATATGTTGTAAAATAGGTCTGTTATATATGGATTTAGTTCCACTAGGTGCTAAAGAGGTTGGTCTGTTTCACCAAATAACTTAGTTTGAATTGTGTTCACTCAGTCATGTACATGGTCTGTTCAGTATACATGCAAACTAAACTACTAAAGTTTCTTCGTAAACCCTGAGTAAACCTCAGGAAGTCCATCACATCTTTGGAGTTGTTTGCGCCAATAAACATTTGAAGGAAACAACTTGTTTTCAGCGGATCAATGTGAACTGTAAATACTACAGGGAAAGTTATCAGGTTAGGACGACTGTCGATCTTTTATGTTGATGAAAATGCAGAATATACGAGACCTTGTATGCTCTCCGGTCACTGATTCGCTGTATACGTGATTTCAGTCAGTCAGTCAATAACAACGTAGAACTTCGTACATACGTACATCAGTTCGAGTTGCCACACCACCTTAGCACAGAGATGCAGTTGTCGATTCAAATATACGTGATTTCAAGTAAAGCGAGTTTTTGAAAATTTGCCTAGACGATTCTAAAATAACATCTAAGGAGTCTAACTTGTCATAGTTTTTAGAAGCATTTTCAATACCAAATTTTTGAGAAAAAACAAGATCAGTGAACCCGAAGTTTTGCAAAGTTTTTATCACTTCCATTCTCACTTGCTTTATTTAAAACGATATCACATTTCTAGTAATTCAAGATTTATTTCCAGTTCACTGAACATGCTTTTGTCTTTTATATATTCAATTGATTGTAAGGATTTGTTTTAAGTAGTTGTTCTCAAATGCTGTTGGATTTTTATTTGGAACCGGAAAGTCATATCGAACCTAGTTAGGTCCTTTCATAGAATAGATGGATTTTTGCCCATCACTGGAATCAAAGACACGAGTTTCGTCCTATTACTTGTTGGTTCTACTTAGTTTCGGGAAATTAAATTATTTAACTAGCTTTTGCAATAAACATCCATCAGTCAAGTACATGAACACGTAATTGGGAGGTTAATTTTCGTAATGTATTAAGTAGCTTATATATATATATATATATATATATATATATATATATAATGATTCCTGGACTACAGGAATAGATTTTGTGGTTTAACTTGCTGATAAGTCTTGCTACCGCTACACCTAAACTGTATTTTCAGCTGGTTTCGATAAACTTAACTGATTCTATATATCAACCGGGACAATAGAGACAGGGCGCAGATTGCGGGTAGAAGCCTTACTCCAAGGTTATTTTACAAACAAAAAAGAGGGTATTCGTTGAGATGCACATTACCTTGTGGTTCTGGAAATTTCTGGAATCATTCTGAATATAATGGCACTATAGGTAAATATCGAATCAAAACTGTGACAGGTGATTCTTAATTTTCTAAATGTTTCTGCAGAGATTTTATTCAACGCTGATTAGGTAACGTGTTTCCGGGCCTCTAGAGACTTTGGTAAGGGATTTTTTGGGACCTTTCCTACACTTGTGTTTATTTACTTATGAACTTTGGGACTGTAATCCGGGTTGCTTTCTTGTTGGCACTGTCTTTTAGGTGAATCGATTAGCCGAACTTATCAATATTCGTTCTGAGAATGATATGAGTATATTCACTAGTGGTTGTATAATCAATATGAGTGGATTTCGTAAAGATGATTCAGATGGTGGGTCAAGTAAAGAAAAGGGTATCCAAGCCATACGAACGACTGCTGCAGCTTTCGAAGTAAGTTAACAACGTATTTTACTACCTCAAAGACTAATCTACTTTTTTCAACACATGGATGATTTTCTTATGATCAAAATTCAAATATTTGATGCAATTTTTCCCATTGATAAATTTGAATAAATCACGAACAATCAACGTAGCAGAATAACATGAATTCAGTTTACTTCGTGATTGCTTATCAGCTACATACATCCCGAATATAATAGTAATAATCACTGGAAATTGGTTTACGCAATTTATATCAATATATTAGAAAAGTTTAATTAATTCATCGATACAGTTTTTTTAAAGTGATAATAAACATTTGATTGAATTCGTAATTGTACTACTATTCTTTTTATCCTATCATACCCATGTTTATTCTGATCATGAATCCTATAATTTCACTTAAGGTGTAAGCTGATTCATTGCCTACGAGTCATCTCAGCACTAAAAATCTTGTTTTATTTAACAATCGTCCTAAAAGCCATCTAAATCGTTGAATAATTTTGTGTTAACTGAGATAAAAGTAATAGGATAAAGTTCTTTTTATGAAAAAAACATAGAGACAAATTAATGAGAATGTTAATTAATAATTCAACTTTGCACAATAATAACAAGAAAACAGATCAGTAAAAATAAGTAAAGTTCAAATAAAACTAAACGAAGTATGGAGAAATTTAGTTATGAAATATATAAACAAAGGTTTGTTATAGAACTACACATTGGAAGATCAAGCCACCAGGGCAAAGCAAGAGTGAAAACATTATCTTATTGAATACATAAATCTGGTTTAAACCTTTTAATAGCTATGACTTCGACAAAACGCAACAAGTTCAATGTTGTTCGCTTATTAATAATTTCGAATTATTTTGAACTCGGAGAACAAAGAATATTAGAGTGAACTATTTTACTCAATAACTTCATCAAGCTCCACAGTTGCAAGTCCAAAATTTTTATGTTACAATAGACAAGATATTTTAACTAAGTTAGTCCATTGCATTAAATGAAAATGGTAGATAGCGAAAGAGATCCATTATGCCATTGACGAAGAAAAAACACAACGAAGATTTTCGTTTCGATGATTTCACTTACTTAAGCTGTACAATCATATTTATAGTTAATTTCATTTGCTAAAATAGTATTCTGTGGTAAGATAGAATGGTGTTAAATATTCAGATGGTATGTTACCATGACTTGAAAATCAGATATTGAAAGGACCCCTCTGACTGTATGTATGACTTTGAAGGAGGGTTCTGGTAAAGCGAAGTAACCGGAATGGACTAGATTCTCCAAGATTAAGTTTTTGACTGACTTCTGTAATCCTTTGGAGAGACAGGCATGGAAATGTTCAGAGATGCGTTTCTAAAGAGCTCTCTTTGTGCGGCCGATATAACCCGTTCCACATGAGCAAGTAAACTGACACATACACATTGATTTAGCCCAAAATTTCACTTCAGTGAAGTAAGTCTTAAATGCTACAAAATACTAACATAACAAAATTCATACGAATATTTGAATGAATAGTTTCACAAAAATTAGTCACCGAGTAAACAAAGCACATTATTTGTGAAAATTATATTGGAAATTTAAATAATTCCAATATTTTGTCCAGAAAACTAATGTGGATATCTTCAGGAATAATAATCAAAATCAATATTATCAAAGAATTTCTAACGTTTAACAAGCAAATCTACACTAAGAACTTATCTAATCATATTCTGATGTTAACTTTAGTAAATAGTAATATGTGAATAATGTATAAAATACACAATCTAAATAATAATGAATATAATTAAAATAACCCATAGTGTCATTGAATAAGAAAAAGAGAAATCAGCGAAGAAAATTTTCTTTTCGACCAAATCATTTACTTAAGCTGTACATTCATATATATAGTTATATGGAAAATATATGTCTATAGAGGGATAGAAAGGATTCTGATAATAATAATCACCTGCTCACTAGTGACTGACTTCTGGAGTTCTAGTGAGAAGTCGTTACCAGTGGAGTTCAACCAGGTCTGTTGTGAGATAGGAACTCACTGAAGACAATGGTGTACGGTAGCGCAACTTCGTGGATTGGTTGAAGTTAGACATTAACACCGTTGGATGCCGGCTCAGTGGTCTAATGGTTAAGTGCTCGCGCGCGAAGCCAGTAGGTCCTGGGTTCGAGCCCCGGGTGGTGCGGGTTCGTGGATGCGCACTGCTGAGGAGTCCCATACCAGGACGAAACGGCCGTCCAGTGCTTCCAGGTTTTCAATGGTGGTCTAGCTTCAACTGACTCATGATTTCAATCTGTGAGAAAGGATTGTATCAGAAAAATGGATTCGAGAATAAATAACAAATGAGGTTAACGTATTAATCAAGGGGTAAGGGAGAATAGAATTTATGAGTCAGATAATAGTCCAATTGACAGATTTGAAGAAAAACGACAAACAACAAAGGTCATAATAATATCGATAATTAAATAAAAGTGCAGAAAAAAAACAACACAGAAACATATCCATTAAGGAAATTAGGACCAAGGGAGGATGAGAGGTTGGATAAATTGTTTCTGCATGCAAAGTTCAGGCTTGAGTGGATTGCCAATGCCTCTGCGGTGTAGAAAATATTAATTCAAACCCCCCTTCGATCCAGTTCCTTTGACTCTGAATGAATATGTATGTGGTTTGTGTAACTTACGTTATTATTGGTTGATATTTAATGAGTGAATATGAATCATTTGTTTATTCGAAATTATAAAAAAAAGTACAAATTGAAAAACATTTTTAAAACATGAATTATATGTAAAATGCAAACTATTGTACTGTTAAAATATTCAAATTAATTTGTTTTTGTCGGAAAAATGGTTGCATATGATATAAACCAGAGTGTATATATAAGTAAGGTCAAATTACGTCTCAGTGATTATTTAACAAGATATTGATTTTTTTTCAGTTGGATAATATGAGCCGATATGATATGAGAAATCTGAATGATGTACGGAATTCACTATGTTAAATACAACAAATATATACTTGTGTAATTTTATGTTATTACTAGTTAATTTTTAGTAAATAAATGTAGTCTCTATCCATTACTATTATGTTTAAGTTGTAAACAGATGATAAAAAAGAGCTATGAAGTAAAATGAATTCATTTTATTTTATTATAATCAGAGAGTGGTTTGGTGTATATTATAGTAATTTAATAGTTGAATTCATAAGTCAATTGAAGCTAGATCACTATGGAAAACCTGGAAGCACTGGATGGCCGTTTCATCTTACTTTGTATGGGACTCCTCAACAGTGCGCATCCACTGATAGGTCCTCGATTCGAATCTCGCGAGGCGGGATAGTGGGTGCGCACTGCCGAGGAGTTCAATACTAGGACGAAGCGGCCGTCCAGTGTTTCCAGGTTTTTCATAATGGTCTAGCTTCAATTGACTCATGAATTCAACTATTAACTTATTTTATTATGTTTGTTATTGTTCCATCAAAATTAAAATATTTTCACAGGTATATCATAGTGCATGGGAAAAGATGAAGAGGTTTGATATTTACTAAAATTTACCAAAGACTAAAGTTAACTTACTGTTTCTTTGTAATAAGAAATGTTATATTGCACTCTCCACACTGTTGTTACCTCTGTTCACTTCAGCAGATCTAAATTACAAAGTCTATTCATTACGTTGTCAATGTGTCATACGTATGGACCATTGACTTTATGATTAAAGCAATAGATTTTTAAGCAATGCATTACATATAGATTGATAAAATAATGTATTTGTAATGTTCCATTTAGTGGAAAAAATTGAATTTCTAAAATCCTGTAACTTATTTTAAGTTACTTCTACAGAGAATGAATGAACAATCAAAGCAAATTAGCTTAGTTCTGTATATTACAGAGGAGCAAATCAAAGTACTTAATACAATCGAAATAATTCTGATCACGCCAATGCCATCATTTAGGCCAAAGACATATGTACATTCTTGTACATTGAGGTGGCCGTCAAAAATATGAAGGTATAAGGATAATTCATGTGTTTATGCTATCGAACTTGAAGACATCAAATGTGGTTTTTTGAAAAATAGTTAATGGTAAAACTACGGTCTATGGTATTTCATTTGATTTACAACAAAATGTTTCGTGTAAGTGCAGTTTTAATAGTATTCTTGGGAAAATTATTAAATCATAAAATATTTATTACATTATTTTGTTATCTTACGTTTTTAAATAATCCACCAGATGCTATATTTTTTTGACATTATCAAGTTAAACCTTGATAGTGATATATATATATATATATATATATATATATATATATATATATATATATTCATGAAATTAAAAGCACTTTGTTCTTTAGGTTGACACATTGTTGGTCATAGAAGATGGATTTCTAGCTTCGTTCCTGCGTGAAGATCTTCCTCCCGAGGTGACTATAGTGAGATTACCCAAATCGTCAGGTGCTATAACTAGAAGTCCAGATCAGTGGACACGTCAGCGAGATGCTCGAGTCTGCGCCTATTTACATGGCGAAAACCCCTTGAGACGTCTACATCCACACCAAATAACGCTTAAATCTTCTGAGGTTAGTTTCTTTCTATTGATTCTTCATTAAAATAAGATCGCTGTCAGTCGGGTTTAAGAAATATGAGTGTGTTTGTATGTGTTAGTCGTTAGATTAGAAAGTATAACTTTTTAATCGGCTCGCCTACCAAACACAAGTTTGTATAGTTATCTTTGAACCACTTTGATTATAAGGGCTAATGACATTGTCTGCTCAAACTTACAGTAAGTGGACTGCGTGGTCTCAACTTGTAAGGTAGTTACCCTCTCGTTTGACGGGTTCTACAGTAAATCTTGTTGCAAAGTTTCGATTTACATGTTCAAACTTACTTAATCCTGTTACCTCTGTTTGGACATATGCTGCTGACGGATTTTCTCCATATGTTATCTTGACCTACTTTGTAAATGTTTAAGCTTATTTCCGAAGATGCCTGCTACTCCGTATTCATCTGAATTTGTTGTTGTGTGAGATAGAAGAACTAAGTCATCTGCGAAGTCCAAATCGTCCAGCTGCATCCAATGTATCCGCTGTATTCCGTGCTTTTTCTGAGATTTGAAGGTCATGATAATGCAGTCAACAATTAGCAGAAAGAAAAAGGGCAATAATGGTTCAGTGGTTAAAAGGTTTTACCTTCAGGCACTAAATACCAGGTTCAAATCCTGCTCCACCGACTTCCGTTCGAGCAGTCAAGTACTACCACTAGCCCTTACAATTAGTGTGTGGTTTATATCAAAGTATCTAGTGAAAGAAAAAGGGCGAGAGTAACAAACCTTGTCTAACACTGGCCTTCACTTAGAATGCGTCTCTAAGCTACTCTTCATGCACGACTTTGCAACTCAGTCGCTATTTGGTAGGTACTTGATCGATCCTTACGAAAACCAGGTTGGTCTATTCAAGAGCTCTTCAAAGTGTCAACTCACTTGTTTCTCTGTCCTTGAATCTGAGTGATTGGTTTTCATTCTTTGTTCTTGACCGGTCACTCTGGCTTATCATATTTTTCTGGAAGCTTGTTTGTTGTGTCATATGGTTTCCCCATACTCCTATTGCAGACTTTTCCTCTACCGTTGCTAGGTCTTCCACATATTTCCGTTCGTCAGATTTCATGCTCCTCTCCATTCTCTCATTTGCTTCTGTGTATTCCGCCTGTGCCTTAACATTTTTTGCTTTTGTTCGGCTGTTGTTGGTTCTTGTCTTCTTGTTGTTCCTTTCTTGGATCTCGCGTAGATTGTCTACAGAGGTCCATCCTTAATAGTGCTGTTTTTTAGGCTTAGCACTTCCTATAATATTTGAGTCATTGCTTTCTTAATTTCTTCCCAGTTGCACTATATGTGGCTTCCCCTTCTTTCAGTAAATCTTGAAGTCACCAACTTCTGGTCTGAGCCATGTTGGTAGATGCAGACTACTTGGTTGGGGTCCGCGTGACTATCGTAACCAATGGTTGGAGACTTGGTGACATGGCTCAGAATCGATCACAATGGCGTAGGTGTATACACTCTGTCTTCCGTTAAACTAAGAGATTAGAATCACTTCGTATCTTTCTTTCTACGAGCTAATTCTTTTTTCCTGTACTATACTTTTATCTGCAATCTTTCTCCTATATATTACCCCCATTGACGTAACTACTTCTATGAATTCAGTGTTCATCTTACTGTGCTAATGCGGTATGGCAACTTGGACCGATGCATATATGTGCCTGGTTCTACGTTGTAGCTGACTGAGTAAATCTTTTAAGGCCTGAATTCACTAAGCTTGTTAGCATCTTGAAGAAATACTATACCAAGCTTTTGTAATCCTGCTTCTTCGGTTATCCAATCCTTAATCACCACTATGTCGTGATCTGAAGGTATATCAGCTCCTCTTTCTGTTCGTACGTCTTTCCATGGAACTTTTGCAGATGTGATCGATCTAATTTTATATAGCGTGGTCCAGTGGAACCTATGTAGCTTTGTGTGTGTTTGTGTGGGAAACGCTGCACTTATAACCATGTCGTTGAAAGGACAGATTTAGTTGTCTCCCACCATTTTCGTTCTTTTCTGTCAGTCGATATCCCTCATAATACATTCATACTCAGTGTTGGCCATCCCAACCTTGGCGTTTAGGTCCTCCATCAGGCTGGTCAGGTGTTCTTCTGGGCACTTTTCTACGGTCGACTGCAGCCTTTTATGGAACTGATCTTTATTGTCTTCGTTGCAATGATTGGTAGGCGCATATTACTGAATGACATTTATTATAATCCATTTCTTCATTTACACTTTATTAAACTTTTTACAACTAGTAATTTGAATCACCATCACCACCTGTCTTTGTATATTTTATTCTTTACATTTCCAGTATTCAATTTACAAAGTTGGAAGTGAGGCCATTCCCGATGCACTTCTCCCACATGGAGCACAAGAAGAGGAGACATGGCGTAATCCCATCCAGGTTTCAGTTAGTCGAGATTTGAAGAATCGTCTGTTGGCAGTTTCTCAAGCTTCAGAACCTTATCAAGTTCCAGAAGCTCCTGTTTATGGATTTATCGTAGTTGTTAATGTTTCCGAGGACAAGTCCGCATTCACCATACTCAGCCCAAGTCCACATCCTCCTCCAAATAATCTATTTTTATTAACCAGTATTTGTTACGTTGATCCTGAATCACTGTAATTTCGTATGTAAAAATTGACCAGTGGTCTTGTAAATATATTTCTCTGTTGTACTGTTAAAGCAAACGTTTATTGGATTTTATTAGAATTAAATATCGATAAACTGTTCCATCACAGATGAGAGCCTTACATACGAATGATGTAAATGGGTACATAATACATCAAGCTGTTGAAAAAAATAACAAGTTCTAATATTTATAATGCGCACTGCTGAAGAGTTCCACAATAGGATGAAATGGTCGTCCAGTGCTTCCAGGTTTTCACTGGTGGTTTAACACCAATCGGTTCGTGATCTCTATCAAAAACTTAACATCGTTTATGACAAACATAAAATTTGTGACTGGTGAATGAACAAGATATAGTCATGCAAGGTCAGTCAGTCAGCTACAACGTAGGACCAGTCACATATGTGCATCGGTCCAGGTTGCCATACCTCATTAGCACAGCAAGATGAACAGCGGATTCATAGGAGTGGTTAGGTCAAAGGTTGCAATAAGGATATAGTATAGGAAGAAAGAATTAGTTCGTAGACAGAAAGAATGAAGTTATTTTAGTCTCTTAGTTTAAGGGAAGACAGGGAGTGTATACACCGACGCCATTGTGATCGATTCTGAGCCATGTCACCAAGAGTCTCCAACCATTGGTTACGAAAGTCACGCGGACCCCAACCAAGTAGTCTGCATCTACCAACATGGCTCAGACTAGAAGTTAGTGACTTCAGGCACTGATGCCACGTTTTGGTTTGGCCGCCCCTAACTTTCTTCCAACCATCCCCTACCCCGGTTAGCATTGCACGTCGTGGTAATCGGTGTTCAGGCATACGTAATACGTGGCCCAACCATCTCAGTCGATGAAGATTCATAACCTCATCAACTGATTTACCATCATTCCCTAATACCCTGCGTCTAACCTCACTATTACTTACCCGGTGATCCCAGCAGATGCCAGCAATATTTCTAAGGCATCTGTGGTCAAATACTAGTAGCTTACGGGTGTCTTCTACTCTTAAGGGCCATGTTTCGCTGCCGTAAAGTAAAACAGAACGAACTGCCGCGCAGTATACTCGTCCTTTTAATGATAGACGGATATCTCGCCTTCGCCAAAGGTGACGTAAGTTGGCAAAAGCCAAACGAGCTTTTCGAATCCGTGCTGAGATTTCGTCAGACACCAACCCATTAGGGCTGATCAGACTTCCAAGATAAGTGAAGTTGTCAACGCGTTCAACTACTTCACTCCCTATCCTTAGTTCAGGTGTTGACGCAGACCAGTTCTGAAGCAACAACTTGCATTTAGAGGGAGAGAAGCGCATCCCAAACATTCTGGCATTGTTGCTTAGTGCTGCCAGAAGACTCTGCATTTTGTCAGCGTCTTCACCAAACAGGACTATGTCATCTGCGTATTCTAAGTCGATAAGTGGACCTCCTGGAAGGAGATCAATACCCGAGAATTCAGTAGACGAGAATGTTATTTCCATCAATAGGTCTATGATGAAGTTAAACAAAAATGGAGAAAGTGGACAGCCTTGACGGACACCACTTGAGGTTGCAAAAGTAGATGACAGTTCGCCATAAGCCCTGACTCGACTAGTAGTGTTCGAGTAAAGAGCCTTCACAAGGTTTATGTACTTCTGACGTACGCCTTTCAATGACAGACACTGCCACAGAGTCTCGCAGTCTACCGAGTCAAATGCTGCTTTTAAGTCGAGAAATACCACCATCGTCGGACGCCGATAGGTATGCCTGTGTTCTAGAACCTGACGAATGGTGAATATGTGGTCGATGCAGCCACGACCAGGTCTAAAGCCAGCTTGGTTCTCTCGAGTTTGTAGTTCACGAGTCTTAGTTAGGCTTCTGATAATTATCGAGGCCAGTATTTTAGATACTATGTTTGTTAAACTAATCCCTCTGTGGTTGTCACAGGATGATTTTGACCCTTTCTTATATATTGGGACGATAAGTGATTGCGACCAGTCAGATGGGATAAAGTCTAATTCTCAGATCTTAGCTAAAATATTAGTCAACTTAATCGCTAAAATTGGACCACCATCCTTAAAGACCTCTGGAGCCAATCCATCTGGACCAGCTGCCCTTCCTCGTTTCAGATTAACTATAGTCTTTTGAACTTCAGTAAGAGTCGGGGGACCTACTTCAATGTTCCATTCACACTGTCTGGGAATGGAGGGTAGTTGTAGAGTAGCTGAAGGCCAGCTAAACTGTTCCCTAAAGTGTTCCGCCCATCGTTCTAAACGCCTGGACTTGGAGCAGATGAGTGTATCGTCTTTTTCCGATATAATCTCACTTACACTTGACTTATTAATTCCAGTTTCTTTTATTAGTCTGTAAAGCTGTCTTGTGTTCCCTATAGTCGACGCCTTTTCCATCTCTTTTGCTTTCGATGCCCACCACTGCTCACGGTCGTTTCTTAGACTTTTTCTTAACCTAGATCTGATTTGTTTTCGCTCTTCATCATGTTCAGAACCTGATGGGACGAGTTTGCGAGAATCCATCAGTGTGACAGACCTTGAAGAAATCCACTGGTTCCTTACAACTCTGTGGTTTAAGTCACTAATAGATGTCACTGCTGTTTCCACAGCTGATTGTATGCCCTTCCAAGCAACATCTGGGTCAGCCTCGTCTTCACAACTACCTAAGTGTGACCTCAGTTGTTCCTGGAACCTACTTTTGGTTTTCTCGTTACTCAACTCAGTTCTAACGGGTCTTTTTAATGTGGCTTTTTTGCGTCCAGTGAGGCGCAAGCAGATGCGTGCCCGTATTAGGGCATGGTCGGAGTCCAAGCAGGTACTCCAGAATGAGCGACAATCTTCTACCGACCCTCTCCAACGATGACTGATGGCAATATGGTCTATTTGAGTCCATCGTTGGTTTGGTGTAGGGGGTCGCCATGTTAGACGATGTCTCTCCTTATGCTTAAAATTTGTGTTTGCTAAAAATAAACGATTGTCTGAGTATAGCTGCAGCAGACGATCACCATTATCTGTTCGCTGTGTCGGAATACTAAAATATCCACCTAAATGCCTTTCTGTTTGGTTTAAACTGCCTATCTGGGCATTAAAGTCACCTGCTACGAGTACTATGTCTGAGCGTTTAGCTTTCTGAAGAAGTTCGGACAGCTTTCTGTAAAATTCATCTTTCACATCATCTGAGCTGCAGTCAGTGGGAGCGTAGGCAGAAACGACAAAAAGGCAACGACGTGTGTTCCTATCCTTCCGAGTCCTTACGGAGCCGTTTAGCCAAACAGCACATAAACGACTGTTAATGGGGATCCACTCTAACAGTGCTTGTTCCGCCCTTATGCTTAGTGCTGTCCCTACTCCTGCCAGTCCACGAGAGCTGGCCTTAGGGTCACCAGATACACGGAGGATGTATCTCGTTGGCTCTCCGTTTTGTCGAGGTGAGGTCAAGTGAATGACCACACTGGGATCCTGTATGTGTGTTTCGGAGACGCAGCATACATCAATGGTACGAGATTCTAGGGTTCTAGTCAATGAAGCCTTTTGACCGATTTGACATAGGGTGCGTACGTTGAAGGCTCCAATGTGTAATTTGGAGCGAGGTTTCAGTAGACCTGGGACAGTGTTTTGCGCACTAAAATCGTTGGCTATGGTGACACTTGAGGTGGAAGCCGAGAGAGGAAATTTAAAGTTGAAAGTCGATGTAGGAGGAATAATAGGAATTGAAGAGGAAGGTTGATTATGAATACAGTGGTCTTGAGTGCTGTTAGAGGTATGAGGGCGGTTGTCACTTCCCGGTTGCCCACACCGTGGAAGGGTTGTTCTGGGGGTACCTGAAAAGGAATTTGGATTAAAGGTGGTCTTAGTGACCTGAGAGCGTGACCGCAGTGCCCAAGGAACAACTGCTTGAGGTCGGTCACACACGACCTTGTTATGGGTAATTTTTGTGTTAGCTCCGTACTTATTGAGACCTTACCGCCGGAGACGGATATCCGTGGGATAAGGCGAGGTGTGCATTTTTAGGGTCGACCTTTTCTAACCCCACCCCTCCTTGTGGGAAGGCAGCATCGCTGTCATGCTGGTTGTCTGGAGGAAACACCTTACTGCTGTCACACCTCTGTACAGTCAGCAGTACGACTTCGCCTTCGGACCTTGGGTTTGTTGCTTTTAGTCTTACCGCTCTTCAACCAACCTGCCTGACATGGTAGGACCTTGAGGAACGGTTGTTCCAGCCAGTATAGCTCGGTTGCTTCATCACGATAGGCAAGCCCGACCACCACGTCAAGGTAGCAACAACGGTCGGGTCATGCAAGGTCAAAGAGAGTTAATGTGGTGGTGGGCGTTTAGTATTGTCATTAGTGAGTTCGTTTATCGATCATATCTTTCGTAGGTTGTGTAATAGTTATTTTACATTTAAGCAGTTAACAGAAATTACAGATTGATGAAGACATAAATTTAACGTAAACGGAATGATATGTAGCTAAACGAAGATGGCTCAAATGAAATTATGATAGTAACAACAATCTGACGCTATACTTTAATGCTTCTGAAACAACTTTCTGAGTGATTTTAACTTAGTGAGGATAATACTTGGATGTTAAACCAAATTAACCGTTAAGTATATATTTTATAACAGATGTATAAAGCGAGAATGTTCTTTAAAGCTGTACAGTTGCGAATATATATATACCTATTTCTCAGAATGATTATAGTTACAATAAGTGATAGTAAAATTCTGTTAAACATGGTAACAGAGAGGCAGAATAAATAAGGGTATTAAAACATCATTTTCTTATCAGGGAAATTATAATCGTGATGACTATTCAAAACCTAAACAATAAAACTATTATTGGTTTCCCTAATAAAAAATAATATATTAATTTCTTTGTTTATTCTGCCTCACTGTTACCCATGTTTAACAGAATTTAGTTATCACTACTATTGTAATATTTTAAAAAAATATGTTATCATTAATTCCTACGGTTATAAATCCAAATTAGTCATTCAAATGAATAACCAATCTAAAGGCAACGTTAGATTGACATTTTATGGAAATATTTACTTAACTCATCACCAACTGACACCAGCCTTAAAGCAAAAAGGTTAGCGATAGGTATTAGATCAGCTACAGTTGAGTTCGATTTACAGATTATGGTTATGGTTTTCATTACGAACCGGTATCAGCTGTCATGGAGTGATTCCTTAC